GGTTATTTGTTACTGGATTACGGGAATGTATTATCAAGCGAAGGGCTGACCCACCCACCACCCCTGATCCCATCACCGAATTATACCCCCCCCTCCGAGCCCCTTGACCTAAGGATCCGGTAAATGCCCATGGGGTACAGCACAGTACCGGTAGTCCCTCGATCACTCGTTTATTTTATGAAATTTTTGCGAAATGAAAAATGACAAAGAAAAAAAAAAAGAATTCGCTTGATCCCGAGGCTGGCTGTGCTATCCTGTATTAAATTAAGCGCCCTATGGGAAGAGGGAGAGGAATGGAAAGAGAGACGTTTCCCCGCCAGTCGAGCGAGGAAAAGAGGGCAGCAAGTTTGATCAGTGAGGTGGCACGCATACGAATAGAATGAAGATCTTCCGTCACAAGGCACTTACTGGCAGTGTTCCTTCCTTTCCAACCCCTGTGATTCAGGAGAGAGAGGAAAAATATATTAAGAATTCCGGAAAGTCCGTGGGCCCTACATACAGGAAGCTATTCTTATATATTATATAATATATTATTCGTCCTCTTTTCTAGTGACATGTCCCTCGGTGTCCGAGTTTCCGGGGGAAGTCTAGTCTAACCAATCCACGACTCCCTCCCTCTCCACGAGAGAGGGGTCAACCAACTACCTACGACTTTCCCCTGGGCGGTGCTGGAATGTTGTGTGCGGTACTGTACGGGGTACCGGCATTCGTGGGTTGTCACGTTGTGTTACGTGCAAATGTGTATTTTCGAAAATCGTAGGCATTCATATGTACAGTACCACGACACCAGCAAGTGGCAGCAAGGGACAATTTCCGGTGGTTTGACGAGCTCGGACCAACTTTTATGCGACTGGTATACCTGTATACCCCCGGAGTGGCCGTTGATGCGGGTTGCCCTGTACTCCAGTACTTGTATTCTGTATGATATCTGTTTTAATTCGCTCCCTCCCATTTTGTGCGATAAACAGAACATGTGTTCCTGAAGCACACATCGTAATTCAAAATGGAACTCCCACGATCCATTGATACCGGTGGTGGTACAGTACTGGAGCAGAAAGGACGGCAATTGAACGGTTCACAGCAGAAAATAGACTTTCTCTTTTCACTGTCTCGACCATTTCCCCATGCCTAGGTTTTTTTTGTCGCACCATGAGGTCCCAGAAAGCTATTACCTGTATACCATGACATGATAGACTCACAGCAGACCCATCGGGGTCTCTAATAATTTTCACACAGGGCCTTTTGTGAACACTCCGCTCAAAGGTTTTCGAGAATTAGTTATCATACCGGAAGTCTGTTCATCTATGTCGTCGCTACAAGAGGTTCTAAATATAGTTAGATAGTCTAACTACAGTGGGGTGTGTGAGCAACCAGATTGCGTGGGGGAAGCGCTGTGTTGGAAAGGCATAATATTCGGGTACTGTACTGAACAGTATTGAAGGCGTACTGTGTGCCAGGAGAGAGCCCACGATATATATCGGAAGTGTGGTGTATGATGATTATGAATGATAATGATGATGGGTTCCGGGACATTAGACACGGATGAGCGCGTCGCTTCTTTTAAGCCGCATGGACAAAGCGCCCGAACTCCGAAAGTTAATTTTCAGAATAAGAAAGATTCAGCGAGCAGGTACACAATAACTGTACGAGTACAACCGCCGACTGAACTCGAGTACAGGTACAGTACCACTGTACAGTACCGCTGTGTAGCAGTTCAACAGGTACGGGAAAGATCATCAGAATTCGAAAATCAAAAACTCTTGCTACGCTGCCAAGAGTTGATTTGGATATACGATGCATAAATTTATCTATAAGACAGGCAGGCAGAAACTTTTCCGCGGAAGGCAAAAAAAAGAATATCTCCGGCCCCGGACGAGGGGAAGTTGGCGAATAAAAAGGCCCAGCTGAGAGAGAGTTCGATATAGGATAGCATATGACGATAACCTATGTTTCGAGAATACCTGCACTCATGATTATCGTATTTTTTTCTCCTTCGGAAAGCTGTGCAATCACGGATGAGGCCCCACACACGCACACACACTCCGAGACCGAGATTCCGCGATCTGGCTGTGACTGGATGAGTGACTCTTTTTTTTATATTCGCGCTTTTTCATATATTTCGATATATATATATATATACGGACGGGAGGGAGTATCGTACTTTTACGAAGTTACACGGCAACACCGGGTACCGTATGATGTGTTCGGACGGCTATCGGAGTGGCATCACAGGACCTTTTGAAGCCTCAGCATTGAATAATTAATAATGTTCGTATCATAGAAACATATTGCTGGAGTGGGGCAGTGTACCCCCCCCCCCCCGGGACAAAAAGGTGCGATATCCGTTTGTTACGGTGCTCCACAAGTGGATTGTTACATTCAACAACGGTAGGGCAATGGATGCTGTGCGAATACCAATACTTTGGGGGGGGGGAATTGACTCCGATGGAATAAGAAAAAAGAAAAAAAAAGAGTAAGGCGACCCGAGAATTGCGCCGGTGTTCACGAATTTTGATTTCCCCTAATGGAAACTCGCGGGCACTCGCCTGATCCTCTCTGACGTCTGATGTGAGTCTTTTCAGAATCTAAAATTGATGATAGCTCTATCACAAAGTATCGAATTCGAGTCTAATGAGTAGGATTAAAGGAATAATCTACTAATTAACCCCTCCCCCCCCATTACACGATTCGTGATAAGAGTCGTAGGGCTCCGGGGATAGTCGCCGAGGGGGAGAAGTCGAGTCGAGTTCGTCCGGCGGGCTTGGTGGGTAAGTGTTAGGGGCGGAGAGCGCCGAGAGAAGTCTGGTTGCGCCCAAATTAGAATAAGCATTTGGAATGGCGTAGATTGGGAATGATCGATAACTTATTTTAGGCGCGGCGGACTCTTGTTATGGTCTCCCGCTCTCACCTCTCTATCTTCCCTTTTTCGATGAGTCATCGCATCTTTTTTGATGAGTTGTGCTGCGAGCGCAATAGGGTGGTATTATGATTCGTTGCGATAATTGAAGCAGAAGCAAATCTCCCTCCTCCCTCGAGGAGGCTTGTGTGTGTGTACTGGTATAATATGTGTGTGGTGTGGGAAATGGGATATGAGTGGAGGAGGAGGCGGAAACATGTCAGGGCATGGCCGGAGGCAAACGAGCGCAGGAAACATCTCTGAGGCTCAAGCCACGCGGGAGATTTCAGGAAGCAATTTCGGATTTAATGGAGAAACAACTTTACTCAAGTACGGTGGTGGGAAGAAGAGGGTTTAGGAAGAAAAAATATGGCAAGCATGGGGGGGGAGAGAATACCTGTACTCGTACTGTACGAGTACTCCTGCACAACGATACCGGCACAGTAGGCTGTAGCAGTAATGGAGTACCGGCAGGTGCGAGTTTCAAAAACGGGAGAAACGGTAGTGGGAATACTTGTACAAGTACTGTACCGGCATCCAATTTCCAGAATATTTCCTAATCCGGACTAGTACAGATAATCCAAGATGGCACTGTTCCTGAATTCTATCATACTCGCACAGTATGGTACCACACACTACAACCCGGGCGAAACATTTGCTTTGGGCTTTTTGTCCTTGAAAAACCTGAACGAGATCTTTTTTATATTTTTCCTTTTTACGAGGCTGATTCATCATATGCGAACACCTTCGCGCCCCTCTTCACGGGTCCGGTGCACTTTCCTTCTATGCATCGGGTGCATCTCCAGCCTGAAGCGAGGTAAGGGATTCTTCCCCCTCTCCCGCCCCCCCAGCCAATGAAGCGTGTAGCATAGGGCTGCAGAAAAAAAGTTCAGGTCTCACATAATCGCCAATTGAACCCCTTCGCTCGCTCCATCCACCTTTGTCTCTCTCCCCCTTCGCTCTCACGCGCTACGTGCTGTTCGCCGAATCCATAATTTGTGAGTTATTTTTGATCTACGCTGGAAATGTGTGGCTGTGGGACCGTGGAGTGAAGCGGAGTAGTCTGGTGAGAGCAGCAAGTGGGTTAGGTAGGTTAGGAGAGACAGTGTGAGAGAGAGAGAGAGAGAGAGAGAGACGGGGGGGTGGAGGCAGGCAGAGACGCAATGCATGTAAGGATTAGGGTACGATAAAGTTTGTAAGATGAAAGAGTGCAATTTGCATCATGGAGTACTATACTCGTACAAGTACCTCGCCCATTGGCATCGGCATCGTGGTGTCCGACGAGTATGATTTGTACTGTACATCCTGAGAGGTTCCAAATGTTAATTTAGATGTAGAGTCTCTATTCCCGCCGCGCGCCAGATGCCTACCATCACCGCTGTCGTCACCTCTATTTTTTGGGGTGTGGATTATTACTATTGCCAGTAACTGTTTCCTCTTTCTGCAAGTTCGTTAGTTGGGCAAGAATGGTCTGGCGCCGAGAGATGCAGAATCTGATTCCGCCGATCTGACAACCTGCGATCCATCCACACTAAAATTTCCACCCTGCTTGCTTGTCCCCTCCATCGCAACCCTCGCTCCTCCTCATCCCACACACTTCCCCCATCCACTCCCCCCCCCTTCTGAACCATCAACCGCTCACTAGATACCACAGCTGAGATCTAGCCATCGTGCATCAGCCCTGTCCCTTGGGTCGCTCTGCACAAACGCCCTATTACTCTCTCGAGAACAGTGGATTAGGGGGTCATCGAAGATGGGGGAGGCCCCGAGATGTCGACGCTTGAATCCGAGAGAATTGAACTAGTTCGAGGCTTACTAGTAGACTCACCCTCGCATTCGCTCACTCATATTCAGGTTTAGGGAAAAGGTACCGTAGTCTGCCTCGCACTAACATCGTCATGCCTCGGTATTCTCGAGCAAATACAGTTTGTCCATTGCACGCTATCATAGTTTGCGCTTCTCGCTTACTCTCTCTTCTCTTCTCACGCTGCCCAGCCGATTCAAGAGGCGATCCGCCCGGCGTCACTCCTTGACACCCGTTGCCGCGATGATGTTTTCTCATCGCAGCCTCTGACAGTGAGAGACAGTCACCAATTTACATGACCGAAGCTGAATTCTAGCCGAATTTCCGAATGAAAATAATAATAATGGAACAAAGAAAAAATTTACTGGCGCGGGGCAGGGCACTTTCGACCAGGAACCATCATGGAGGAAAGTCCCACAGATGACAGGCAATAGAGGATACAATTGGTGCTAGGAAGCAAGATCTCTCTCTCTCTTTACCCCATAACTCATCATCCCCCCCATCCATCACCCATCATTCATGTTTCCCTGATCTTAATTCGCCCTGCGTTTTTCTTAATCTTGCCAGGCTGTGGGCGGGAATTGGTTTTTGGTCCTGCATGCAGCGCATAGGCCATGCAGCAGCAGCACTTGGGGCTGTTGGCTCTTCTGCGTAACCTATCTACGAATGCTAACTATTCCATGTGTGTGCAATGCCCACGTTCGGCACCCGAGACCCGCTTCGTGGGCGAGCGAGAGGGGGGGTTAGACGAGGATGGGATCTATCTCGTGGATGGTGAGAGTGTTTTGCTTCTTTCCTGCCACTAGCTGGAAAGTCATGACGCTTCCGCTGCTTGGTGGGCGCGCAGGTTGTCGACATCTGACACCACTCGCTATTTCCCGCCTCCATGGTTCCTCTCACACCTCACTTCAACAGCCTCACCCCCCTCCCTTGCACGGGTACCATACGGCGTTATTGTCTCTGCTCGGAAATTTTCTGGGATGTGTTCTAACTTGGGGGTGGGGTGGATGCCCGGCGCGGGCAGGGGGTGTGCTGCGCCTGAGCCTGAGATCCTCCCTCCACACGAGTGGAGGGATGCAGGATATGAGAGCCGTCCTCGGACCCTCTTCCAGCAATATCTCTACCGTACCTCCATCGTCGCTAACATATAACAGCCTCATCCCTCCCTCCCATCCACACTTCCTTCACCATCTACTTTACCCTTGACATTCGCTACAGTCACTACCACTTCCACTACTGCACCACACTGCAACTACTACCATTACCACTATTGCTACATCTCCACTACCACCCCCTACTCCGACCCACTACAATTTATCCACTGCTTTTCACCATCCACCTCGTTATCCGCATTTCGCACACAAGTTTTACAAATCTCCCTCACGCACCATCACAATGTGTATTCGCATCACCGAACGCTTTGCGGTTTGCAACTGCATCTATTTCGTCCACGGTATCGATCAATGCCAGTCGGTAGGCCGCCAGGGACACTCGGTGCAGGAGAAGACGGTCTTGGTTGGCTATGCGTGCGAGAGCCACTCCCGTGTGTCTCTGCCCTCATCTCACCTCGGTGTCCTCCCAGACTACACACCCGGCAGCAGCTCAGGATACTCCTACCGGTAAACGTAGAAAGAGTAATTACGATGCTCAAAACGGACGGACGTTAATACTGGCACCTTTACGAGAAGAGCTCTTTATGAAACTTTATTTTTAAATCGGGAGCATTGCATTGGATTTCGGAGTTTTTTTTTTTACGGTGAACCACAAGTGCTCGCCGCCTGGGGCGAAAGAGCGATGGGTGGCGCACAACGATATTTCTCACGCGAGGACTTTACTCCGGCTTGGTCTAGGGAGCGGGAGTCCCGAAGACAAACACCCGAGCAGGGATTGCATTATAGCGGGTTGTTTCTGTTTTTCCTTTGGTTTTCTTTTTCCTTTTCCTTTCTTCTGGGCGACATGGTTTCTTTCCTTCTGTACCTCGGAGTTCAGGGCATTCGTTCAGGGGATGGCAACGGGACGTGCCGGTGGATATTCACATCATAGATGGATATAGGGCTGCACCGGAGTACGCGGGTTTCTTTTTTTCTCGTATCTGTAATCTCATCCGACTCGGGTCGGGTTGTGGGGATTGGTGTCTCGTCTTTTTTTATTTCTTACACCGGCGTACGGAGTTTTTTGTTTTTGATTTTCCAACTACTATCTCCACTTAATTTTTTGTTTATTATCTGGCTGGAGTACGGTATTGATATTACTAGATTACATTGGGCTGGGGCTGGGGGGTGTTTGGTTTGGGTATGCAGTGCATTTTTAGAATTTTAGTTAATTGTTAATGGCCTCTCTCTGGTGGGGACGCCCGGGTTTAGTTTTTAGTTAGTTTATTTCGACAATAAAGATATATATATCGCGAACCTTTTAGTTGTCAGCGGAAAGAGATTTGAATAATGGGCGGGGGGGGGTGGGGGTAGGTGAGTAGTGCTCTTCTAATTTCCACGCCGCTGAAATGGAAGGCTATAGTATGATAAGATTATGATACTTTGCATGAGTGCTTCAGGTCTAGCATGGACCTTGCGACTTGACCTTACCTACATACCGGTACTTCATTGCTCACTCGTTACGCGTTTCCTCCATAGCACTATGGGAAATGCAGGATGTGTCCATTATTGTCGCTCCTGCTCACGCCGCTTTACAGTACTGACTTAAGGCACAGTTTAGCTCCACATTACAACTTTCTCTTTTCTGTTTTCCTCTCCCCCACTTCCCTAACCGCAGTCGTGACCTCGTGACCACGATAGCGGTGGGTAAGTGTTTCTCTGGCATTCTCCCATTCGCATCGTATTGATTGATACCCGAACGGACTCAAACAAGCTTTATCCCCTCACATTTTCTTGAGATTGAAATTTATCAGGAAATTGCGTAGAATTCAGCACTAGAGAAAAAAAAAAAAAAGATCTTTGTGTCACATTGGCTGGAATGGCTGTCGAGTTCGGTGGCAAATAGCTTGGTGCCAGGAACAAATTCTGGCTTTTGGGGGAATAAATATTACTAGTGCCAAGGTAGTGGCTAGCCGCCACAACCCCAGGCTGCCTGCTCACTGGCAAGCCATGGGCATTCCGTCTGACGGCCTGGCAGCTCAACAGGACTAGTGCGACCTAGTGGATTACCTTTGTATCATACTTCAGTAGCTCAATATAACTTTATAGTTCTCATAGCAATTTTGTTGCTCAAGATAGCATCATAAATAAACAGGAGTTAGTATATAGATCAAATATTATATCACTTTAAATTCCTATTATCAACATTAAAGTTTCCCATTTTACTAACATTTATAATATAAGTGCCCTCTTTTGTATCTCTGTATTAACTTGCCAACTCTTACAATAATATTGAAACAAGAAATCAGGTTGTATGTAACGATCCCTCCTTGGATGGTTAGGTCTTGGTGACGGGGAACGATACTTCTCTTTTTCTTCTTCTCCTCTTCTTTGTCTTATGATAGCGCTAGGCCTCTGCCTACCTTTCCGATAGTACAAGACCTCTGTCTTCTATCGGGAACACCTATCATAAGCTTTCTCTAACTCTTCTTCGTAAAGAACTTTCCTTGGTGTAACGATAATGTTGCAATAAAGATAAAGATTATAAAGGTGTTTTTATATTTGTTAAAGTGATAAGTAGGAAAAGTACTTAGAACAAAGCGTGAAGAACCTCTCCTCCTTGGCTACATCAGCCTCCTTATATAGTGTTCTTCCCGCCCATAGTCAGGTGACCCAAAGTGGTCACATGTGTGAAACCAAATCATAACAAACTAGTGATGTGACCAAAGTGGTCACATACTCAAAACCCATGACCTCATAGCGAGGTCATGTGCAAAACTTATAAACCAATCATAATGCAATAAACAAATCGTATGACTCGACTGAGTCATATGTGTGAAATCCATGACCTCATAATGAGGTCATGTGTGAAACATAAATCATATATGTAAGGCCTACTGTAACGATCCCTTTTCCGATAATTAGTTCTTGGCGATGGGGAATGATACATACCTCTTCTTCTTCTTCTTTCCCTTGTCTTACGATAGCTCTAGGCCTCTGCCTATGTTACCGATAGTACAAGACCTTTGTCTTCTATCGGAAACACCTATCGTAAGCTTTCTCTAACTCGTCTTCGTAACGAGTGCTTCTTGGCATAATAATAAGGTTGCAATAAGGATAAAAATCGTAAAGATGTTTTATATTCGTTAAAGTAATATGTAGGAAAAGTACTTAGAACAAAGCGTGAATAACCTATCTTCCTCAGCCGCATCGGCCTCCTTATATAGTGTTCTTCCCGCTTTTAATCATGTGACCTAAAGTGGTCACATGTGCAAAACCAAATCAAAACAAACTAGTCATGTGACCAAAGTGATCACATGCTCAAAACCCATGACCTTATAATGAGGTCATGTGCAAAACTCTTAAACCAATCGTAACGCAATAAACAAGTTATATGACTCGACTGAGTCATATGCACGAAACCCATGACATCATAATGAGGTCATGTGCGAAACATAAATCATATGCGCAAGGCTTGCCCGTAAGGCATACTCATAAGGCATACTCGTCAGGCGCATGTCTCATGACTCATACTCGAGCCATGTGCGAAAGCATCACAAATCCCACACATAACTAATCATACAACCCGAATAGGTTATATGTGTGAAACAATAACATACCTGTGACTCATAACCGTGTGTCACGTGAAAACCCTTTCCTTACTAAGTCACGTCCGTGACACCTACCTGCATGGCACACTCGCAAGGCATATCGCTAGGTACACTCCCATGACTCATATTTGAGCCATGTGTAAAAGCATTCCAAATCCCACACATAACAAATCATATGACTCGAATGAGTCATATGTGCGAAACCATAACATACTTGTGACTCATAACTATGTGTCACGTAAAAACCTTTTCCTCGCTAAGCCATATTCGTGACATTGTAATTTTCCATAGTTATGCCATTTAGGAGTAGTATTTCAACATATTAGCAATTGTTTATAAATATGAAATACTGGTACTATAACTGTAAACCTGTCAATAAGATGTCAAATTGGAACAGGAGTTACTAATATTAAAATAAATACTTTTAAGGTAGTATAAGCTTGTTCTTGGCTAGTTCTTAAACTGACTAAATATAATCAGTATAAGAATTAAATTTTAAATAATTTCTGACAGTACAAATTCAGTTTTCCAATACTTGTATTAAAAGTAACCAACTCTTCTAATGGTTAGTAATCACAGTATTTAGAGATTTTTTAATCAATATTTAGAATATTGTATTTATCAAGAAAACATCTAACTACTGAATTTGAAAATTACTTATCTATTAAATAATATTATGAATGAATTCTTTAAAAAATGCTTAATTGTTTCTGAAAGCACAATATTCAAGCTTAAAACTAGTATAATATTGATAAAAGTTTACAACTTGTGAAATAAATTAGTAGTACTACTGTAACGATCCCTCTCTGGATAGTTAGTTCTTAGCGACGGGGAACGATACTTGTCTTTCTCTCTTCTTCTTCCTTCGTCTTACGATAGCTCTAGACCTCTGTCTACGTTACCGATAGTACAAGACCTCTGTCTCCTATTGGGAACGCCTATCGTAAGCTTTCTCTAACTCATCTTCGTGAAGAACCTTTCTTAGCGTAACGATAATGTTGTAATAAGAATAAAGATGGTAATGGTGTTTTATATTCGTTAAAGTAATAAGTAGGAAAAGTACTTAGAACAAAGTGTGAAGAACCTATCCTCCTCAGTCACACCGGCCTTCTTATATAGTATTCTTCCAGCCCATAGTCATGTGACCTAAAGTGGTCACATGTGTGAAACCAAATCATAACAAACTAGTCATGTGACTAAAGTGATCACATGCTCAAAACCCATGACCTCATAGTGAGGTCATATGTGAAACATAAATCATATGTGTAAGGCGTACCCACAAGGCACCTTCGTAAGGCATACTCACTAAGCACACGTCCCATGACTCCTACTTGAGCCATGTGTGAAAGCATCACAAATTTCACACATAACAAATCATATAACCCAAATGGGTCATATGCGCAAAATAATAACATACCTGTAACTCATAACCATGTGTCACGTGAAAACCATTTCCATGCCAAGCCACGTTCGTGACAGCATGCCTGGTTGTCCAGCTATGTTAACACTTATGGCAGTTTGCTATATATTGTGATACATTAAAGTGCATTATTGGCCAATTGTACCTACAGCCTAAGAGCTCATGTGTCTTCAATCGGCCAGCATATCCAGCTGCGGAGACATTGTGGTGCAGTTGGATCAACCTTAATCATAAAGGACTATTTGTAAAAACATAGGTACGATTGCGAAAAATCAGCCTCGTCCCCTCACATCAATATTCAGATAGAGTGATTAATTTCAAGTGCTATATTCCCTTGTCTAATAGTTCAAGTATCTAGTTGGAGGTTGGGTCATTCTTGTATTCCTCATTCTAGAGCATTTCCAGTGAGTGGCTATTTGTACTGACAATATTGTCAGCTAGTAAACACAGATTCTGTGGCTTAATTATTACTTGAGTTTGGTACTTATTCCTTTCCACTTCATTGGCCTGATATATTGAGGACATTCTCATCAGTACCTCTGCTTTTCCATTTATTTTACCAGTACAGTAGTAGATCTTATACTTAAAGCGAGAAAGCAACTGTGACTAGTGAGCTTGGCTACGGTTTAATAGGTAAGACGTTATAAAGTATTCAAGGTTCTGGTGGTCTGATAGTACAGTAATTAGATTCTTTGT